GGGTATCTGATGACTGGTAGGGCATATGTGTTGATGGCTTGGATCTTGTTTTTCCCATTCAGCTGACTTTTCAGGACCTGCCTTACTCTTTGTAGGTATTTAGCTGTGGCAGTCTTTCTTGCCATCTCCTCGTGGTTTCCGTTAGCCTGTGGCACCCCAAGGTATTTGTAGCTGTCCTGAACATCTGTTATGTGGCCTTCTGGTAGTTCAACCCCCTCGGTTCTGATCATCTTCCCTCTCTTTGAGACCATGCCACCGCACTTGTCCAGTCCGAATGACATCCCAATGTCGTTGCTGTAGATCCTGGTAGTGTGGATCAGTGAGTCGATGTCTCGCTCACTCCTGGCATACAGCTTGATGTCATCCATGTAGAGGAGGTGACTGATGATTGTTCCGCTTCGGAATTGGTATCCGTAGCCATTCTTTGTGATGATCTGGCTGAGGGGGTTCAGGCCTATGCAGAACAGCAGCGGGGATAGTGCATCACCCTGGTATATGCCGCACTTGATGGTGACTTGTGCTATTGGCTTTGCATTGGCTTCCAGACTTGTTTTCCACAGCTTCATTGAGTTCTTGATGAAGGCTATTAGAGTCCTGTTGATCTTGTACATTTCCAGGCATTCCAGTATCCATGTATGTGGCATTGAGTCATAGGCTTTCCTATAGTCAATCCAGGCAGTGCACAGATTTGTCTGCCTGGTCTATATATATTTATATATATATATATATGCTTTTTTACATCAAATATTACCCAACAGAAAAAAGTCCATACTTCAGTTATATGAATCGTTTGATGTTTTTCCTAACTTTGAAAGCAAAGAATCCAAATCAGTTTTTGGTTATTTAAAATGGAAACAGATTTCTTATTGCAGATATTTTACAAAAATAATTGGATGTTTTTTAATTAAAAAAAATCATGTAATATTTTGCGGCTCTTAACGAGTTTTAATTGGCTGGACTCAGGGCAAAATGGCTTTTTGGATATGAAAGGTTGCAGATCCCTGGTCTATGGGTATGCTGATCTGACAGTAGAGGAGGAGGTAAAGCAGAGCAAAAGACCACGACTCTTTGGTGCTCTTGATTACATTAAATTCAAATGATTGAATATTTGTTGTTTGTTTGCAGTTTTTATTATATGTACATTTTTTTCTGTTTTTTTGTTTTATTGTCTTGTGCTATACTCCCCCCCTTTGTGTGAAATCCCTGACCTGACCCCACTGTAGGCTCCCTGATAAAGCTGGTCTAGAACCGCCATTAAAGGACCGCAGTTAAGATGTAGGCCTTATAATTATTGCTCTTATTTACACAGGAAAATGACCAAATATGGAGAATGAAATAATTAAAATGTGACTCTTTAAATGAAAGGAATTTAGCAGCCGTTTATAAACAGCCAATGATCTTTTATCCTGCTGTTTAAAGCAGGAACAAGAGATAATAATAATGGATGTAAAAGATTGCAGTCATTTCCCAGCAGGTATTTTATCGGTGATCGAAAGCCCTTCCTTTGACGTTGACTCACGTCATTACGTCGCGAAACTGAGCGCGCACGTTCCGGACACGCCCCCGCTCACCTGAGCTGCTGAAGATTTCAGGGAGAATCCAGGTAGAAAGCAAAGAGTCAAAGAGAGAAAACGATACGCGAAGAGGACTACAGACAACAGGAAACATCCAGACGGTTTAATACGGAGAGGAAACAGACAGGTTTGGAAACTTTATTTGTTTTATTGAGAAATAATTAAAAAATTAATAAATAAAAAAGTTTTTGGTAGGAGAGTCTCAGCTCTAACAAACAGGTGATTCCAGCAGCTGTCGCCTGTTGGCCTTTTCTTTAAATTAGAATATTTTGTCGCAGCCAAATGGATCCTTCTGGATAGTTTAATCTCTTTAAGTCCAAAGTTTAACTAATATCTACATAAAATGATTTAAAAAAAACAAGTTTTATTTTATCTGTCCGGTTTTACCTTACAATGTATTTCAGTCACGGTGTTGGTTGTTTTGTTTGAAAGTTGAATTGACTCCAGATTTACCGAGTTTTGGACCATTTCTCTGTTTTTGCTGCAGTTCTTGCTGTTTGTATATTTGAACTGTGACTGACAGACAGCTGCAGGCCCTGCTCTCTCCCCCCTCTCTTCCTTTTCTTTCCCTCACCATACTGGTTCTGCCACACTTACAAGTTTCTACTTGCCTGCCACAGAGTTTCACAACAGTTTCGGCTGCATTCCCAAAGTGCTCCGTCTTCCTCTGCCTTCATGCCAATCAGCCTTTGGATCTGATGAACTGATTGAGGCTCTAAAGTTTACTGTCACTCCAAAGGGTTTTAATCAAACCCCTGGATTTTTTTCCAAATGGTAAACTTGGTGATGCATGAACAATGAATTGGATTGATTTGACTCTGGTGGATGCTCTCTCTCTAGTGCTGCAATGACTAGAAACAATATAAACTTATTTATTAACCATTAAAGCCACGATACAGAAACTCTATAAGACACAATATTATATAGAGATGGAGAATGTGTCTGGACTGTATTTGAACAAATTAGGGTATTTTGTTGAATGAATGAACAGAAACAGCATCTGCTTGGAGTCAGTATTAATATGAAATATTAATTAAACTAAAAGAATCAGTGCTTGTTTATAGGACTGAACCATTTTGCAAAAATTCAAAAAAGAAACTATTTTCAACCAATATTGCGATTTTCTTTTGTACTAAGCATAACCATGATGATGTTTTACTCCAAGGTTTCAGTTTTTTCATGAGCTTGAAAGCCTGCTTGTCCAGAATCCAGAGCTGCAGGACTTTGCTGTAACAGTTGAAAAAGTTCTTACTTCTTCTATAATGCATAGATCTAGGTGGTAGCTGCAACTCTTGGTTCTTTAAGTGCGACAGCTTACCCACTTTAATTGTATTAACGCCACCTAAGAGAGAAATGTAATGTCTTACTCTTGTTAAATTCATTTTGACTAAAATTGAGTGTCTCTGCGTTTTGAAAATAGCATTTTTCTAAATTGCAGTTATACTGCAAATGCAATTAATTGCCCAGTCCTACTTTTTTTTATAGATGCATTGTTTAAATCTAATCATCCTGCCGCAGGCTAAAAACATGCAGCTCAGGTTTGTTGGTCATTTTTTTATGTGTGCGGCTGTTTGCTGGTGAGCCGTCCAGGTTTGACCTCCTGCTGATGGAGCTGGCAGCACCTTCCCTGGCAGCCATTATGGATTAAACATTAGGATTTAGAAGAATTATATTTGGTGTGACTTAATACAGTAAGAACTATATTTAAGTTGGATTTATTTCTTACAGCTGAGCTTGTTTTATTAACTCTGAACGTGAATGTGATGTTTGTAGGAGTTATTCTTATATCTGAATGCTTGGTATCAATGCTCTAGTATCAGGCACTTCATGGCTGGTTTCAGTTTTGTTTTTGATTAAATTTTCCTTTAACTACCACTATCCTTTAATTACCATTCTCAAAGGGACTTTGATAAAGTGTTTGAATCAAACAGTAACTTTAGGAATGATTGGATCCCCATTTATCCAGCAGAGCAGATTTTCCTAACGTTAATTTAGCATCAAACACTTGGTGTTGGTCAATGTTGAGCAATCAAAAATATAATATGTATCGTAACAAAAACAATATTAATATAAATATATCCAATCAAATCTTTGAGAATTTCACTTAACCAAGATCCAGAACCGCTCGGCATTCTGGGGGATGTAGGGTTTAGGCGGTCAGACACCAGATTTAGCAGAGCTGCTGTTAGGGCTGACATCAATTTAAAGGTTAATGGTTGTGTTAAAATAAAATTAGAAAGTGAATTACGTTAAAAGGTCAATCAAAAGCAAAAAAATTGATAATTGGGGATATCTCGATCAGATATTGATATCAGAAATCGGTGCAATATCGGCCTGATACTAGAACGCTATGAGCATTAAAATTACTGAATAACAAATTAGTCAATTTTTCTCATATCTGATTTTGTTAAGTAATGTTTTCTGTTTGACAGAATAAACCTTTTCAATCATTCCACTCTATGAAATGGATATTAATATGATATATAATAAATGTTGATATATTATGTCTATTGTTATCCGTCAATGCTCAAAGCTGTGATATCTGTATCATATCGGATATAAAAGGCTTGTATCTCACAGCCCTGTTGTTGGTTCTGGTTTACAAACTGAAAATGTTACCAGTTCCTATTATCTTAAGTAAAAATAGCCTTTTTTATGTGTTCCTCCTCTCAGTTACAGCTGATCAAGTCTGTAATCGCAGTGATTTTGATGCCTAAAAGTGCAGAATAAACTTCAAAGTCTCATGTGTAGCATCCAGGTAGCTTGTAAGGCGGCTGTTTGCTCTGTTTTCCCAAAGCCCTCAGAAAGTGGAAGCTGAAAATGCCAGGTCTGTGTAACTACAGCTACTCTGTAAACCTCTGAAGTGTTTGTGGTGGGAAGGTTCATATTTGCACAGGGAAGCCTTGCTTTTCCTCGCTGCTTACTCAACCACTGGTTAAGTTCCCAGCTGGTAACTGTGCATGCTGGATGTCCCAGCAGGAGTGGCTTCAAAGTGAAAGAAAGTTAAAAATCCCCCGACCACAAACATGGAGTAATAACCTACAAAGTAACAGAGGAAACACCTGTGCTCATGGCTGCAGGTCATCCTGTTATTTTCTTACTATCGGATTAATATTTCACCTCCAGTAACGGGCCAGTTGTCACACAGCCTGCTGATCCCTGCCCAGGATCCTGCTCTGTTGCCAAAACCAAACCCACACTTACTGCTAGAGGTGAAGCCTTTTCCAATGTAGAAGTGCTGTGATGTAGGTAAGGGACAGGTGACTGCGGCCCTAAAGAGGCAGGACACTGATTATCAGAAAACAGGAGTGCAGGGGCACTCCCACGCTCTGGGGCGTGGATAAACGTTAACTACGAAGCAGAGATAACATCAAAGCTCGCTGTTGCCACGGTGCTATTTCCTGGTCCTGAGACACAACAGAGCCACTGTAGGAACCCAGGAAACCTAACTCCAGACCAGAGGATCTATATTGTAGCAAACAGCCCGTCAATTATTAACAGACCAGTGCTCTCATTCCTCCATCGTAACCATGGCGCCCAGCAGACTGAAACTCAGCCAGCAGCCTGGGACCTGCAGCCACTGCTGCCTGGAGGAGCAGTTGACCAATCTGCTCACACAGCGCTGACACTGGGAGCAACTGACTGACCCTTTATGAAAGGAGTCGCTGCAGAGAGCTCTGAGCTCAGCTCTGGATGGATGCATGAGGGATTCCACTTTCTAGTTTCTAACTTTGAGTTCTTTCACCATCATGCGTGGTGGGATTATGGTATGTTTGACCTCATCCTCTGACCGACTCACCAGTGGAAATATTTAAAGAAGAGAAGACGGCTGCAGCAGCACTGCTGTCATCATGAAACTGACACAGAGACTCAAACTACTGAAGAAATTTGGCTCTGAGCCCCCGGAGCCCCCACCGCTGTTGGTGGTGCCTGTAAGTCAATGGATCAAATGTGATGTGTATTCAAAGCGAGATCATATCGGATCAGGTCACAGAGACATTTACTGAAAACCAAGCGAGGCATTTTGCAGTTACATATGCTGCGTTTTTTTGGGGCTTATTATAAAAGTATTAAAGTTTTCAGGTCCAGGTAAAAGTCTTTGGTTTAATTAACTACAGCTGTGACAGATGACTTCATCATAATGACTTTAAAAAAGAATCAAGGGGAAGAAAAACGAAACAAAGAAAAAGAAGTTAACTTTGCTGTTTTTTCCTAAGAAAATTCAAATGTAGGGAGGCTTCGCTCTCTACATTTGCATTTTAAGTCAAGCAGCTCCTACAGCCATGTTGCAATGGTTTGTAACTCTAAACTACAATGCTGGTGTGGTTAAAAATCAGCCTAAAGGTTGAAGGCCAAACATTAGAACGTTACAGTTCATCATTAATATTCCGTTTTCAGAGAAGATTGTGAAAAACTTCCACAAAAAGCTGGAAGAAACTGTATAATGAATACTGTGCTAAAGCCCCCGGAGCTTTAATTGGTTTTAAATGAGAAGCCGCCACCTTTTCTGTGAACTATTACCTGCTTTTCTGTTCCTATAATCTAGTTGGGCTTGATTTCATGTTTTTGTGCTTGTTTTGTTTTTTTTCAAATGGAGTTTAGAAGTATAACTCTACACCTGTTTAGAGTATAACAGCATTAATAGGCTAACTTTTCTTACATTTTTTATATTTTAATCTAAAATATAGGCTTGTTTCTACACTGGAAGAAAATCTATTTATTAGAAAAGTTATTCTGATGTCAACAATTTAACACATTCGTTTTGGCTTCTGTTGGGCTGAAACCATTAAATGTATTAATCGTGATTAATCGATTATTGAAATAATCGTTAACTAATTCAGTAATTGATAAATCGTTAACTGGAGTATAGAGACTCTAAAATATGCCTTTAGCTGACAGAGCGACACAATTAGAGCAGTAGTTATACTTAGATTGTAAAAAAATATGTCAACATTTTGCATTTAAGATAAAAAAATGAAAGTATAGATTTTTTGTCCGTCAATATTCTCTATCCAGAACTGAAGTGGAAAAGTTTTAGTTTCACCTGGTTTAATTTTGTAAAAAAAAAATCTTCTTTAAGGAACCTTTGGCTATCCGATTATTGATCGATTTATTTTCACAGATGAATCATTCGCAAAACAATCATTAGTTGCGGCCCTGGGTTTCCAACTTCCAAATCTTTTCTAGTTTTAATGTTTTCAGTATTTCTTAGCTAGTTTAGTTTCAGTTTTAGTTTCAATCTTCTATGTAATATGAGTTACAAACAAGGAAAATCTAAAAAAGAAAACCACAATCATCATAATAACAGATATAAAACCCCAGATAAGTACAGACGGCTGCAGCACTAATGACCTGCCTGTCCTATCTGCCATCTGCTGGCAGAATGCGGTACAGCAAAAAAAAAGGGAAAAAAGCAACCGGGAACTAGAGCGGGAACTAAACTGACTTTTATTGCAGTGTCAGTTTTTGTCTTTTTTCAAGGTCTAGTTTTTATTTATAATTCATTTTAATGAAAATATTCTTTCCTTATTTCATCCCTTTTAGTTGATGATAATAACTTTGAGCCAGCTGACTGGCAGTGCATAGCTAACTCAGACCCTGCCCTCATATTAAAGGAACTCTAAAACATTGATTAACAAGCAAAAGACGTTTTTCCACTTTGAAACTGAGGTTTTTGTTTGAAGTGGCGCCTTGATTCTGGTGACCAGCTCATTTTAAAGTTTCACATCAAACTCTTGGACTGTTGAGGTCCTGCTCAGTATTAATGCTGATGTCCTGTAGCAGAACCAGCATATCTGAATACAGCAGCTGCCCTATTTAAGGTTGTATCACAGCCTGTAAGGAGGACGAAGCTCCACCTTAAATCCACCATCGTCTGAGAGCTCCATAGAGACCATGAGAGCGGGCAAAGCCTTTAGGGGGAGGAGCACTCTCCAGGTGAGGTCTCTGAAACCTTCTGCTGGGACAGGGAGAGCTACCACAGCAGGTCAGATTACCGATCGTTTCAGTGGGAGGATCAGGTTTCTGCTGGACGCCAGATTCCATTTATCCAGAACTAAATTGGAGGGAAAGGAGCTGCTGGCGGATGACCGTAGAACTTTGTGTTTGGCAGCGCATGGAGTATGAAGAGCAAGCTGCTGCTTGATGGCTGGGGGCCACAGGTGTTTTGCTCAGGTTAGAAAGCCCAGTGGAAAATGGAAGTGAGGTTTAAGGATCACATGGTAAGTGGAGAGAGTGATAAACAGACCATGTGATCAGAAATGTTTCTAAATGTTAGGATTTAAAGTAAATGAGGAGATTAATTTATAATCCATGAATTATTCGGTCTTAATGGTAAAATGAATTCTTTTTATATAATAAGCTATTGAATTTGATCACTTTAACAGATTTCATAGTTTATGACTAATCTTTAGATTAATCTAGTTCAGGTTTATTCTCTACTTCTGGCTCATGTTTAGTTTTAAATACAATACAAAAACATTTAAAATGTTTCTTCAGTTTAGCTTGTTAAAAACCTCTCAGGATGACCGACAGTCCAAACAGATCAAACGTGGATTAGGGATGAAAAAATTAATCAGATGCATTGATTATTGAAATAAACCTCTACTAATTTAGCAAACGATGATTAATTGTTAACATGCCTTTAGCTGACAGAGTGACCCACTTACAGCAGTAATTATACCAAGATTATAAAAAATATATAGATATTTTGCATTTAAAAAAGTATGCTCTATCTAGAACTCCTCAAGTGGAAAAGTTTGAGTTTCTCCTGGTTTCATTTCATAAAACAAATTCTTTAAGGAATCTTTGACTATCTGATTATTAATCAATTATTCGAAAAAATAATCGACAGATTAAACGATTTGTAAAATAATCGTTAGTTGCAGCCCTAGAGTTGATTATTCTTTTCCACAGTGAGGTGGATGGTAATGTACTAATGGACTAAAGTTCAGTCCTCCTGTAAATGTAGGTCTCCTCAGCAGCCAGTTGGCCTCCTTTTCCTTCTCAGCAGGAGTTTTATGCTCCTGTTTGCCTTTGCTCTTTGCTCCTCCTTTGGTTTTTACTGAGGGTCATTCCTAACGCCTTCTCAGAGTATGTTTGCTGAACGTGGCAAACGGTGACTCCCTGCTGATATGTTTTTATCCTTCTTTCTTTAATCGCTCGGACGTGAATCACAGCTAATAAACTGTAACGGAGCTAAAGAAATCAAACCTTTGGTGTGAGGTCGGGTTAAACATGCAGCTTGGCGAGAAATCAGGACAGAACTGGCTTTCAATTAGGTCAACTTTAACGTTAATAATTAACTTGGTTAAACAGTCGGCCACCTGTCCAAAGGTCTAACGCTGCTGATTCTCGCCTGCTTGTTTCAACGTTTCCAAACAACAGATTGCAAAACCTCTAAATAAGCGAATATTGATAAAAGAGCGCTTCAATCATGATCTCATTAGAAGTTAAAAGAAAAAGAATACTGACTATTAATACAAGCAAATCCGGTTATATTTAAGGTACATCCAGTTGAATACATTTCAGATGTTTTTTCTTTTTTTTTTTTTTTAGTAAAAGAAATCAGGCCCCCCAAGTCCTTGAGATTAGATAAAACGATTAGATAAAAGAGGGCTCCTTGAACAGCTCCTTGAACAGTTTGAGCAACACCCTGCAGGTTTCTACCTGGTTCTTGGGATCAACCTGAGCAATGAGGATTTACTCTGCTGAGGATGAGCTGACCTCTGCAGGGTTCTCATCTCTGAATCTATGAATCAGTAAATAACGTTGCAAATAAATTTTTATGTGCAACAGCTTTGTAAACTTTTTACATTTTTATGTCAAAAGCTGTAGAGCTTACCCCGATCCGACTTTGATTCCAATCAGTTGTTTTTAACTCAGCAGGCATCAAAGCTGATGTTTATTATTATTCATGGTTCATTCTTGAACAATGAAACTGACAAAAAAAACACCTTAAAGATGTATGGAAACAACCTCAGCAGGATGTACACCAAATATTCTGCTTTTGTTTCATGTAGATCTCAATCTGTGAGCTGAGTGGCACTTTGTTTGATTTGTTGTTGGATCTGTAGATTAGCTGCAAACAAGTGAGGTGTTATGTCTTCTGATGTGGACAAGATGTTAACATTCATGCATCCATAAGTAGCTGCAGAGAGGAAGGTGTGAAATGATGGCTTCCTTGCTTCAGCTGCAGGACTTGGCTAAAGAAATATCTTGGTCACTAGGGTAAAGAGCTTTGCAGAGGGAGCTGGCTGACAGAGGAACTTCGGTCATCCATAAGCCATGTCAGCTGTATGAAACAGATCAAATCCATGCATGCAACTCGTCAATGCTGTAGTTAAACAGACAACATGGCAGAACCTCGAATCTCGTCCCTGTTATTGCTCTCCCTAACAGATGTCAGCTTTAATAACTAATGTCCAGTCTACTTAATGATAAAATATCACTTATAGTTATATTACCAAATATTTATTTGGGGCAAGAATCAGAATTCATCTCGAATGTGTCTTCAGTTGCTCAATTCTTTTCATTTTATCATTTATACAAGAGAAATTAGTGTCAAATAAGATTCACTGTTTTTAATTTCTGAAACTAACATCTGTATTTCAGATCCACTGAATCTAAATAATTTTGTTTTCCTTACCGAGTTGGCATTGCCATGGTTTTCTGGACACATGGTTGGAGCCTTTCTCATGTTTTTACTGCTTTGCATATTTATTTATAGGCGGGGACCGGGAAGTTGCAGCTGTGACCAATTCCATGCAAAATAGGTTGTATAAAGGAAAGGTGTGCAGAAACGCGTAGAAGTGTACATTTATGTCATTGTTTTCTTTCAAACACTCCATAAACAAGCTGTTGGTATGAAAACCACACACTCTGTTTATGCCCCAGGGCTCAGGATTTTAAATGATGTAATGTAACAATGTAAAAACATTGCAAAGAGGAGCAGTGGGAGCTGCAAATACTATTGCAGGCGTTTTTACTAGCTGGAAATGATCAATGTATTTTTTTCTGATGCATACTTTAGTTTGCGTAAAAGGTAGTGAAGGTGAAGTACTTATTTTGACACGAGCTTCCAGTGCTGATAATGTCTGCTAGTAAGAGTAGTGACAGTCAAATGGTTTTTAGCAACCAATCAGTGCCACTAAGGCACTGATTGGTCGTGCCTTAGCAACGGGATAATTACTCAAATTGTGCTTGAAAACAGACAAAAAACCAAAAAAAAAAAAAAAAAACTGAGCTTTTTGGAAAAACAGTAAATTTTTCTTAAAGTTGTGTTAAACTTGGCTAAAGTTTTAGGCACTAAAACTCAGTTTGTTTAAAACAATCTGGACTGTTGAGGAGCAGTGCAGCTAAATGCCATCTGCATAAAAATGAAATGCAACAGGCCAAGGGATAAAAAAAAAAAATTAGGAGAGCCTTAGTTAACCCATATAGTTGAATATATTATTCAATAATACGTAGCTTCTCTCTTTTTGTTGGTTTGGTTGTTAAAAACGGAATAGCAGCAGTGAAATGGCAAATCTGACCAGTTAGTTTTTAAAAAAAAGTGTTTGCTTTTTCTTATTCATGATATGCATCAAAACCAGGAAATCTCAGTTTTTTTTTTTAGAGCAAATCAACAAATTACATCCTGCGCTGCCTTGTTTTGAGTTTAGTAGAGATTAGATAAAGATATCTGCTTTGATGCTTAAAAATGGTGATAATCTTATAAATCCTTCATTTCCTGTTAAATACAAAACTAGAATCCCAAATAAAAAGAAGCTGTTAGTTTTTTCGTTTTGAGTTACAGAAATTTTGCACAAATAAGTGTGTGTGCAAGAGAAAATATCTACGGGTGTCGAGACTTTAAAGAATAACAGAAACTGGCTTCAACCAGTAAATCTCTGATTTTCGTGTCCAGAGCCCGGAGTTTAAAATGAAGCATCAGAATGTGGATCTTGAATTTCCCTTAAAGCTCGAACCGGTTTATGTTTCACCGACAGCGTCCTGCTTTACCTGTTCCTCTGGAACAAACATCCTTATTGGTTATTTCATAGTAGTTCATGTTTTAGTTCGTGCTCAGCTTGTTTGGTCTTTGGGTTGCAAATGCGAAACATGAACGGCATTTCACCTCGTTTGTCAAGAAAGTTGAAATCTGGTGTTCTTAATATTGCTATCCAAACAATCTGCTAGGCAGGAATTTAATTTACTGAATTAAAGAACCGTCTATTAAACAGTGAAAGGATTTTTTTTTCATCTGTTTCTGTTAAGGTTAGTTAAGGCAGGACAACATTTCAGTATCGATTATATAACGATACTTTAATTCGATATCAATGACTTTCATACAGTTTCTGATATTTCATTACGCATAACGCTCTGTTATCAGTTCAATTCAGTTTATTTATATAGAGTGTCATCTAAAGGCACTTTACAATTCACCCAGATCATCCGGTCAAATTGATTCAAAGTTTTCTATCTAAGGAAAACCAGCTGATTGCATTGACTCATTGACTCAAAGGCAATCCCTCACACTAAGCAAATTGTAGCGACAGTAGAGAGGAAAAACTCCCGTGTAAAAGGAAGAAACCTCCAGCAGAACCAGGCTCAGTGTGAGCGGCCATCTGCCTAGGCCGACTGGGGTTCAAGGAGACAGGAGCAGAGATAGAAAAAACTGTCAACCAGCTCAACAGGCGGCCCCGTCCAGGAAACACACAGCCAGGCAGACGAGTTCCCGAGCTAGCTCCCATGTCAGAGGATGAAGAGAGCACATCCAGCCAGTCACAGTCAGAGAAACAGGAAAACACTAAAATACGGGCAGATCTCGAACATCTAGAAACAAAGGTGTTGATGGCAGCAGCACAGCTGATATTTCTCTCCAGGATGGAGTCACAGCCAAACAGGAACAGACCAGATGAAGCTACTATGAGAAAAAGCAGAGAGAGCAGAAAGTTAGAGATTGAACTAACAGATTCTGCAGAGTGAGAGAATAGAGAGATGATGAAAAAGGGGTCCCCATGTCCTCCAGTAACCTAAGCCTATAGCAGCATAACTATAGAGATACCTCAGGATAACCTGAGCCACTCTAACTATAAGCTTTATCAAAAAGGAAAGTTTTAAGCCTAGCCTTAAAAGTAGACAGGGTGTCTGCCTCACGCACTAAAACTGGTAGTTGGTTCCACAGGAGAGGAGCCTGATAACTAAAAGATCTGCTTCCTATTCTACTTTTAGAAATTCTAGAAACCACTAGTAAACCTGCAGATTGAGAGCGAAGTGCTCTGTCACAGTATAAAGTTTTTTAAGTAAATATATTTCTAAAGTGTTGGGGTCTTATAAACATTTTATTATCATAACTTTCTACAGGCCTCTTTCTGGGGCTTTTATTTGTTTTGTTTTTATTTATCAATATCATAATTATAACTAAGAAATGTATGTTAAATATTCTTATTGCAGTATTTACTAATATAATAGCATTTCTCCCTAATATAAAGGCCTGTCAGACAGGCTGCGCTGTGTTTGAAATGTAACGCAACACCTGTAAACATTCAAAATGTTCTGAAAACTAATGACACTTCCTGTCGTTATTTTATAGTGACTGTGTAAATAGTGAGGCCCAGAAATAACTGAGTCATTACTGAGTCATGGGGATTTTATAAATAAGGTGACATTAGGTCAATTTCATACGTTCCTCATCAATAATTTTTATTTTAATTAATAATTTTTAAATGTATTTCACTTTTTTCTTGACTGGTCATCTTTTTTCATCATTGTTCATTTTAAAAATGAATAATGAAAATTGAGCAAGGCAAGAAAGTTCAGACTCAAAAAATAGGACGGTAGTCGTATTATTTGGATTTATTTTCCTCGAGTTTATTGGAGCTGAAGTCCACCTGTCTGCTGTGTGAGTGAGTGCGTACACGCACACGCACGCGTCCACAGAGCAGGTAACTCCTCCTCCAAACCGGTCAGGCAGGATTGAAACAGGTGTGAGCACGCTCCTATCAGGTGGAGTTGAACAAACAGCCTTTCTGTTTGGATCCACTGTCCTCCACGTTAAGGTCCAGCGTTCCACCATCGGATGAAGCGGCCATGTTGGCATTATTTTGATCACATTCGGCTAAATCTGAAAGTCATTAAAGTCCCTTTTTTATTTTTGTCAGAAACCAGGCATGGATGAGATAACGATATGGGAGCAGCACACGATAACCCTAAACAAGGTAAGTTTCTCTTCCTGTGAATGTGATGATGGATCTGTGGGGACCTTCTGTGGTGTTTATCAGCATTAAATGTGTTTTGGTACCTTTGGTATCTGTCTGCTGTAGAGGGAACAGCTAGCAGGGTGGGGCGGGGGCTTGTTTCTCAGGGGTTATTCTGAGGGACTCTCTGGGTCTGAGGTGGACCGTGCTTCAGATGTCTTGTTCCAGTGCAGGAATTCAGAGAGACACACCCTACTGCGCCCCACAGCACAGACTGGCTCGTCACCATCCTGCCACTGGAATGTGCTCCGTCTCCCTCTATCTCTGTGCTCCATCTCCCACTTAGGCTGCGTTTTTCTTTACTGCATTCCTTATCTGGCTTTAATGCACTTCCTATCATTTAGCCCCCTTTCTTTTCTCCCTCTCTTCATGGCAGGACCCAAAGGTGGGCTTTGGTTTTGCTCTATCAGGAGGGAAGGACAAGCCAAACCCAGATACGGGAGAAACAGCTGTGGTGGTGTCAGATGTTCTGCCCAATGGACCGGCCATGGGACGACTCTTGTATGTTTCTCCTTTTACACAACTAAACATTTAAAGATCAAATAAAAAACTATCCTTTCCCCCTAAAAAAAACAGACTTATATCTGTTGTTGCTTATGTTTTATGTTGTTTTGATTTTTTGTAGCAACAAAGACCAAATCGTCATGGTCAATGGAGTTTCTATGGAAAACGTTCACTCTAACTACACCATTCACACCCTAAAGGCATGCGGCAAGACGGCAAACATAGTGAGTATTCCAAAGGCGCAAATAAAATAGCCTTGCTAAAGTATTCACACCCCTTCAACCATGTCAAATGTTATTATAATACAACCACACATTTTAGGCTATCTTATTAGGACTTTACGTAATAGTCATACATGTGAAGTGGGAGGAAAATTATGCAGGGTTTTCAATATTTTTAACAAATGCAAAAAAAAATTACTTTTTTACATTTTTATTGAGATCCCTTTAATATCCAGAAATTAATCCAGATTAGCTTCCCTGGTGGTCACCTGTATAGTTATTATTATTATATAGGTATGGGCTTGAATGCTGCTGTTCTGTGAAGATCTCAGATGTTTGTGTTAATTAAAGTGAATGAACAGCAGGATCATGAAAATCAGAGAAATAAGAAATTAACCTCCCAATGTTAAAACAAGATGTTTACAGCATCAAAAATGGCTCACAGGTATGAGCATAGGAGCTGCTCACTGTTCACGTTGGGATGGATGGACCTAAAAACAGGAAGTTCTGGATTAAAACCTGTAGACACGGTCCAGATTTTGATTTAAAAACAAATGCATATGCAGGAGTCTCAAACCTGTTCCAGAAAGGGTCGTGTGGCTGCAGGTTTTCTTTCCAACCAAGCAATACCACACCAGACTCCAGCCATCTTATCAAGTGAGTCCAATCTGAACATGATGACTTGATGAGATGAAGGGAGCCTGGTGTGCTATTGCTTGGTTGGAAGGAAAACCTGCAGCCACACGGCCCTTTCTGGAACCAGTTTGAGAGACCTGATTTAAAGGGACACATGAATCACATCGTTTGATTTTTGCTTTTAAATTATTTCAAAAACAATAATTTGAAATTAGAACCATCTGTTCCACGTTGGTCCATCAGATGAATCTCAATAAATAGCATAAGTGTTTGTGGTTATAATGTGACGAAATGTTCAGTTAATTGTATGTAATGATGACTCATCTCATAGGTCAACCTGATCTTTAAACTCTGACCTTTGTTCCCTGCAGACAGTTAAACGGCCTCGAAAGATCCAGATCCCGGCCACCTCCAGACCGACAAGAGCAGCCTCACAGTCCAACCTGCTGGATCAAGATCCTCCCAGACGAACGCGCCGCTACTCTGATGGCAGCGACAACAGGGACGCGGGACGCTACAACCCCCGCGGCCGCAGCCCCTCGCCTCAGCGTAACGGTTACGGAGCAACACTGCCACTGATGTCCGGGTACAAGAGGCTGCCGCAGAACAATGCTCCTGAGAAACCCATTAAAACCACGCTGATTAAGAAGAAAATCACAGACGGTAGGATTTTCCTTCACATTAGTTTGAAATGCAAACCTGTATGATGGATATTTTTCTAGTCCAGGTCTCATTTTAAAATGACCAATCCTGTCCTGCTCTGCAGAGTACGGATTGAAGCTGGGAAGTCAGATCTTCATAAAGCACATGACAGAAAGCGGCCTGGCTGCAAAGGAAGGCACGCTGCAGGAGGGAGACCTCATTTTAAAGGTGGACTTTTCTCTTTCCTCTGCTTAAGATTAAAAGCATGGAAACTTCTTCTATCTATTGTAAGAAAAGCAAAAATAACCGCTTCTCTGTGTTTTAATAGATTAACGGAATGACGACGGAAAATCTCTCCCTCCTGGAGACCAAGCACCTGGTGGAGAAGAGCCGGGGCAAGCTGACCATGACGGTCCTCAGAGACGACCGCAAGTTCCTGGTCACCATCCCTGAGGTGGACGACAGCCCCCCCAACAGCGACGAGGAGCGTCGCAAAGACAGCAGCTCCGAGCTGGAAGGTAAGATTTCCTCATAGAGCCGGCAGTAGGTAGCGTGGATCCACATCAGGTTGTTAAACTTTTCTCTGTGACCAAACAGACATTTCAGACATCGATGAGGACATCACCCCTCGTCGGGCAACGCGTCAACACACCCGAGAGAAACGGACCCGCAGGTACAGACGTCACAGAGTTTTTCTTTGTTCTTTTGTTTCTTTCTTTTCAATTGCTGAAAATGTTTTGAACCTAGAACGAGAGCTGAGCCTCCTCCAAGAGCCAAGTCCAGGGACCCGTCGCCCGTACGCTCCACGCTGAGTCGGCCTCCTCCGAGATCGTACGCCTCCCGCAGAGGTACAACCTCCACAGAAACGCATTTAACTATTTAACTTAAATGGCACATTGACTGTAGGAATGCTGCCCTTCAGAGCCTTAAAAGCACCACTACCACAATTTCAATTCAGTTTATTTCTATAGCGCCAATTCACAACTCATGTCATCTAAAGGTACTTTACAATTCAACCAGATCATACAGTAAAGGTGATTCAAAGGAAAACCAGTTGATTGCATCAACTCAGCGGCAATCCCTCACACTAAGCATGCTTATAGCGACAGTGGAGAGGAAAAACTCCCTTTTAACAGGAAGAAACCTCCAGCAGAACCAGGCTCAGTGTGAGCGGCCATCTGCAGAGGCCGACTGGGGTTCAAGGAGACAGAAGCAGACATAGATAAAGAAGCAGAGATACAAAAGGTTACTGTCAACCAGCTCCACAGGCGACCCCGTCCAGGGGTCTATAGCTAGGCAGCTATAGACCAGATGAAGCTACTATGATGAGAAAAGTTAGAGAGTGAATTAAATTCTGCAGAGTGGGAAAGTAAGGATAGAATGAAGCAGAATTATTAAAAGGGGTCCCTATGTCCTCCAACAGTCTAAGCCTATAGCAGCATATCTATAGAGATGGCTCAATGAATCACATGTCAGCTGTGAGATAAAGAAAAAAAGATTTATTATGTTGAATTATTGTTTCTCTTCAGCTCCTTCTGAGTCGGATTCAGACCGCAGCGCCACTCCTCCTCCTCCCGTCAGGAGAGTCAGCCCAGATATGAAGGACTCCAGCAAATACAGGTCAGTCATTTAGATTTAAAAGAAGCTTAGAAGCAGAAGCCTTTTACTCATTTATTAGGAATTCATTCCAGTTTCAGCTCATTTAATTAGTGAAAAAAATTTGATTATTTGATCATTTCAGCAGTAATAATCTCACTTTTACTGCTCTGCATTATCTTGATGGGGTGTTTCTATAAAATGGTTTAAATTCTAGATTTCAAAGTCTTCCTTTTTTGCTGCTCCCAGTATATTAAAATGAGTTGGAAGAGTGCTTTGAAGACCTTAGTGATGGCATCTCTCTGCAGAGCTCTACCAGGACTGTCCACCCTCCCAAACCCTCGATCTTCTCCTGTGAACAACTGGAGCCTGCCTCGGCCTTCCTCCGCCTCCTCAAGGCCACGCAAGCCGGTGTCTGATTCCGACTCTGACCGCAGCGCGTCCCCACCCCCACGGAGAGAGAGCCCTCTCCCAGATGCCAGATACAAGTACGGGTTACCTCTGATTTGACCTTTGCTGGGGCATGGCTACGGGACTGAAACATTCAGACACACAGCCCAAACAGTCGACTTTTCAAACACATTTCATCGTCAGCCTTCACCTCTAAATGATCCTAATTCCTACACCTTGTCTCTGCAGATCTCTCTCCGATCTTCCCCCCGCCAGCCTCAGATCCTCCCCCATACATATAAGAGACGAGCCACCAAGAAGGGTCAACTCCCCAGTGAGGATCCCACCCAGAGGTCTGTACACATGTCCACACATCCCTGTCTGGGTACATGTAGTGAGAGCTGTTGATTCCCATTAACCTACATTCATTTTAAGCCATTTTTAACCCTTTCTGTGCCCTAAACCTAACCATCACCATTGCATAGCTAAACTAAACCTAAGCTCATTTCACACCTTAAGGTCAGAATGCACTGAATCCAATTTTACATCCAATTTCACAGAAAATTGTGTCGGACAAGGTCATGGTGTTTAGCGCTCATTAAAAGTCAATTGAGATAATCATATAGACACGATTTTACACAAGGGGGCTGCGTAGCTCCAACTGAGATAGAGCCCAAATCTATTTTATTTGGACTACGCAGCAATTCAGCAGCAATTTCATGGGTCTGACGGGAAGAGAGACGCAGTTACAAAGTAAAACACATCCGCTTTGGAGGGAAATACAAAATAAAATCTGTTAATCGCACGGAGAAAGAATCAGTTTTGAAGTCGCACATCCCGTATATAGTAAGCAGTACAGACTGGTGCAAAAATAATAAATGAAACATAAAAAAATTGAAAAATTTACCCATGATAAGAGTTCAGGAGGACAGAAAATGTATCTGAGCATCACAAAAAACTTCACGAGAAAAAATGGATGAAGTAGTTAATCCACTTTGAGCCTCACAAAAAAACTAAATGAGGGTCAGAAAGAGCAGCTAAGCGCAGCGTATCTCTCTCACCTCTTTATGAAAATAAGAATAACTTAGATAAACTTCTCAGATCTCTCTATGAGAATCACCTCTCCGCCTCAGTCAGCAAGCAAATCGTCCCACTGCGTTTATAGCTGTATTTTTCTTTCTTTAGACGCAGATGTCATTATGTTTTTAATATATGAACATTCTCTATCTGTTCTGGTTCGAGATGCTGCACAGACTTGTTCAGTGGGGCTTTGCTTTATAGAATGTGCCACTGGTTTTTAATTTAGGTTTTTTTTTTAATAACTTTTCATAATCTGTCCAAGTCAAATGTGGGAAATTGTTGTAATTAGTGTATAGCACAGAGACAGTGGTGAAAAAAAATCTGTGCAGAATTGCCCACCCTGCCTAGGCGAAGCCTCTCTATACGCAGACAGTGGGACATGCAAAAAAAAAAAAAACTGATTGTAGATTAAAAATTTGTACGCAGCCTTTAGTCCTAAACCTGTCTGCAGACAAAGTGAAGACAAGCAAAATGTCCTCACTTTGCTTCAAATGTTTCTCAGCGTGATGGTGAAATAGGTGCTCACACACAAACACAAACATTCCCTGTCCTTTACCCTCTAAACTTCCCTGTCGGTATTTATTTCACTTTTAATGGTTTGTCTGTTATTGGGTGCAGCTGAGAAGGTTCTGCAGCACAGAGGTGCCTCACAGATTTATGAATTTTTTTTTATTTTTTATAAAGCTTTAAAGCATTTGCTCTCTAATTCTCAGTGCATAGTTAAAACTCTCCCCCCAAGATACCAAAAATAAGTGTAACAACATGAAGAAGTAAAAATAGAAGTAGAATTGTTAGAATCTGATTTATCGATTATAGAAATAATCGTCAATAATTTACTAATCAATTAATTGTTAACTGGATGATAGAGACTCTGAAATATACCTTTAGCTGACAGTGACTCACTTAGCAGTAATTATACCAAAATTGTGAAAAAAGAAAAAAGATATGTAAACATTTTGCATTTAAGATAAAATTGTCAATCTGCTCTATCCAGAACTCCACAAGTGGAAAAGTTTTAGTTTCTCCTGGTTGAGTTTCGAATAAAATCCTTATTTAAGGAATATTTTGCTTGCTTGTCCAATTATTTGAAGAAATAGTCAATAGATTAATCCATCCATCCATCCATTTTCTTACATGCTTAATCCCAAGCGGGGTGGCGAGGGGTGCTGGTGCCTATCTTCAGCTGTCTGAGGGCGAGAAGCGGGGTCCACCCTGGACAGGTCGCCAGACCATCGCAGGGACAAACAGGACAAACACCCATTCACGCACACACTCACACCTAAGGGGACTTTAGAGAAGCCAATCAACCTGACAGTCATGTTTTTGGACTGTGGGAGGAAGCCAGAGTACCCAGAGAGTACCCACTCATGCTCAGGGAAAACATGCAAACTCCATGCAGAAAGACCCCGACCTCGAACCCAGAACCTTCTAGCTCAGGCATCCCCAACCTCGGTCCTCGAAGCCCGCTGTCCTGCAGGTTTTAGAGGTTTCCTTGCTCCGGCACAGCTGATTTTAATTGAAAACTGATTAACAGACTTTTGGTCTACTGCAATCATTATAATCAGCTGTGCCAAAGCAGGGAAACCTGTAAAACCTGCAGGACAGCGGGCCTCGAGGACCGAGGTTGGGGATGCCTGTTCTAGCTGCAAGGCAGCAGTGCCACCCTCTGCACCACTGAGCAGCTCCAATAGATTAACCGATTTGCAAAATAATGGTTAGTTGCAGCCCTAACGGATACTGAGACACTGCTGATGATGATGGTTTTCCATGTTCTGTTTCCAGATTCTGATTCTGAGTCGGACAGCACCTCGGCACCTCCTCCGAGGCACAGCACTTCGTACAGCCAGGACTCCCTCAGCAGATACAGGTACAGATGATGGTCCTCCAAACCCACCCCCATACCTGAAAGAGTTCCCGGAGCGGACACTGGCCAGACTTCACAGCTTTCTCTTATGCTTATCACTAATCATTTGCTTTTGTTTGATTTAAATACTTAAAGGTACCCCTTGCTCTTATTTCTGTGATTTATTTTTTTCATTTACTTATTCAGGACCAGTTTGACTTTGCTTGATTTGTTTTTGGTTTATTTTTTGACTTTGTATCACATGTGTTTTAAGTTTTTGTTAACTAATAAAATAAAAGTGGCTTTTTACAGAACATGTATGTGGCTGTATTGATCAGAGAACACTTATCAATGAAGCAGCTCTGCTCCAATCAGATACCAATGAACCCATCATGCATCAGTTCCTGAAAATCTGCATGTGTTTCAAAGCATGATTAAAATAAAAAAAAGGTTCATTCAGATATTTACTGGCCAAGAAGCTTTAAATGCTGATCATAGGCAGATCATTTTGAGTGGTCACAATGCAGTTGACCTTCACACAGAGAGCTTCTTTAAGAGGTAATAAGCTGAACATTTACCATTCAAGTCTCAGATTATCATGAATATAGCCACTGGTCCCCCCTCGTCAAACATAACTGAGATTTGTTGTCTTCCTCCTCCCTCACTCCCACCTCCCTCTTTTCTCTTGCAGAGTCCTGCCCGAGGTTTCTCTGCAGCCTCACGTGGAGCCGCCTCGATGGAGCGAAACCAGCGAGCAGCCACAGAAAGGTCTGCATTTCATTCTAGTTTTTTCTCCTTTTCATTAGTTTTTTATTAATTTTTATCAGCTGCTGGACAAAGATGTTGAAAAACTTTCCTCAAAAGAAGTATGAAAATGTTTTATTTATTGACCTCCACAGCTGACTCAGAGCAGGAATCAGAGGCCAGCTACGCATCTCCCCCCCGCAGGGACACCTCAGGTAGCGGGAACTCAAACCGAGCCAACAGCAGACGCAGGTGAGGCAAACCTTTCAGTTTCATGTGCTTTTTATTCACTTTCTACACATAATTTGAAGAGAATCTAGCTGCAGACCTGCACTGTCAGGACAGGACATTTATTTCAAGTCTTTCAAAGTAAAAGTAAAGTTAGTATACAGGAAATATTTTATGTTCCCGTGTTTATTCTCTTGCTCTTCATAATTGAAATGCATTTGTCTATTCATGAGTTAAAATATATATATATATATATATATATATATATATATATATATATATATATATATATATATATATATATATATATATATATATATATATAGATAGATAGATAGTAGTGCTGTCAATCGATTAAATTTTTTTAATTGCGATTAATCGCATCAATGCCTGAGTTAACTCGCGATTAATTGCATTTTAATTTTTTTTCTGATTAAAAATCATTTAAATACTCTCGATGACATACAAAAAATACATACAGGCTAGGTTTGTGCCAATGTTCTTTTTTTAAAATGAAAACAGGTCACAGACACTGATTTATGCCATAGAAACATATGGCAAGAAGATGGGGAGGCATGTAGCAAAAAATAACAAATATGTAGCCAAAAAAAAGGCCCTGAAAACAGGCTGATGTAAAAGACAGTCTTTACAGTTAATACAGTCTTTTGAACAAAGACAAGCATTTTACCCTACTGCTATAAAATGTAGTACAGTTAACATTAGATGTTAATTAACCAAGATAATAATGAACAATTTTCAATCAATACATCAAAATCAATAGACCGACATCACTAGATGGAGGTAGTCTATGCCCTAGAAAGTTACTTTTCAGCCTCTTAACAAAAATGAGAACACACACACACCCACTCACCCACACACAGACACACCCACCCACACACACACACACGATACCGACCTGTGGCGTACACAGACAGCAAGAGTGCCGTAGCAGATTCCATTTCACCTCAGTAATCTGTTTTCTCAGCGTATTTCAGGTTGCTACTAGTTACCAGACACTCAACTTGTTTGTTGGTGGTGGGGCTTAAACAAAAGGCACTAGCGCTACCCAGTGTATGAGCGTCTTTTTTCCTTGAGGAGCTCCGCTCTCGAAGCCTATGGAAAATGCATACACTGGGGAAAATAGCCCCGCCTTCCCGCAGGCTGCAGCGGGATGTACTTGGAAAATTGTACCATAAAACCACATAGCGTTAATCTCACGTTAAAAAAATTATCGCCGTTAAAATGGCCTCGCGTTAACGCGATAATAACGCGATAATTTTGACAGCACTAATATATAGCAATGCAAGAAAATAACAAAATTAACAGTTATTTTATAAATACATCTCTTTAGTTTTTGTTTTTTTTGTGAGTATTAAATTATATATTCTTTACTCTTTTAGTATTGTTTGTGTTGTTTTTACCTTTGCTGTTGGACCACAATGGAGGGTGTGGGATAGATATCAAATTAACTTAGCTTTGTGTTCTAACAGTGAAATACTGAATAAATAGATACATGAGCAAAATAGATTATAACTTCAGTTTTTTTCCCACGACACCGTTGACAACATTGGATGCAAAAAAAACATTTAAATGTCAATTTATTTTGTTGGAAGTGTTTTTACTGTCAAAACAGCAGATTTAACGGCATGACGTGCAGCGTTTAATTTTTGACAAAATGCCAGAGGGAGTCACAATTGAAACATGCGTCTGTAAGTGACGGATAATGTTGTAATAAGTAAAGGAAAATCACCCAAAAATTATATAATGAAGGAGTTTTTTTCTTGGTCTTTAAATGGATTTAATTGTGCACTCATCTCACAAAAAACATGTAATCTTCTAATAGAATCAGGCAGCACATAGTTGCTGCACGCTGTTCCTGAAGGCTTTCAATAAAACAATTGGAATAAACTTCCTGTCCTAACAGTGCAGGTCGGCAGCCAGACCCCCATAATTTAGGCTCTGCACCGAGAAACATAAAGTTAACTTTATGGAGTTCCTACAAGAAAGCTAATTTCTAGAATTCAGAATATTAAAACCATTGAACTGTTTTTCAAATTTGAATGGCGTTAGAAAATTGCTGTAGTGTAGCTCTCATTTCAGGTTTATAAAACTATTCAATGTTCTGGATCAATCATTTAATATGAACTGGTCACTAAAAAAAAAACATTCCCGCTCTGTGAATGTTTAGGCCTAAAGTTCAGGTTTACTCTTTGAACAGAGAATAAATCAGCAAAAGGATGTCTGAAAATATTAAAACTACAAATAAGAAGATGTTTAACATAAATGAGGTCATCCTATAACAGTAATAATAACAAAACTGGAAGGTTACGCTTGAGAGCGAGAAACGAGTTTGGTTGGTCTGTCATAGTCAAACGCAGCCATTCTCTGTTTTCTATTTTTTTTAACCCTTGTTGAATAAAATCTGCACACACTGCTGCACATGACAGGACTTCCTGTTAGGATTGCACCACATTATTTCAAGTGCTGAGGACCCACAATGCAACAGGATTAAATCCCTCCAGTCCAAACTAACATGTTCACGTCTGAACCAACCTTTACTGATAGACTTTAAACCTCACACCCCTGAATATTTATGATCCAAACTAAAAATGTATCTTTGTATTTTTAAAGCTGAAGCTCTCTTAGCTCAGACCAACACAGAGGGAAATGATATCTGACTAACAAAATGCTAGTTTGATCAGTGTTATATTTATTATTTTTTGTAATATATATTTTCTATATATTTAAGATACATATTTTATATATATTTTTTTATATTTATCAGTCTAAATGTATGTTTCTGTCTAATCTTCAGAAGCTGAACTTGATTAGTGAATATTTTAAACGGATAACCATTGACGTTTCCTTTTTATTCTTTTTTTTAAACTGTTATGGATAAAATGTGACAAATTGGTTCTATGTTTCCTCAGAGTCCTGTCTAAGAAGGCAACTTCAGTCCCTTCAAAGCAGGATCCTCCACGTCAGGTCAAATCCCCGACCCGACCGCCCCCCGATGGTGGGTTTACTCCTTCCTGTGCTCTCACTGTCATTTATCACCAGCAGCAGTAGAACAGCGACCGTTTCTCACCTTCTCACCTCGTTCTTTCTTAGAGTCCTCAGAGTCGGATGAGCTTTCACATCTCAGGAGGTCTGGCAGCTCTGAGGGAGAGGATCAGCGCCGCAGGTACGACAGAAACACCCGATACACAAACTATGACTTAAACATGTCTGATTACAGTCCAGGTTTCTCATTTATTTATTTAAAGAATGAGCTTAAGTAAAATTCTCCTTTCATTTCATTGACTGATGTTAATGTTTGATTTTTCTTTACATATTTTGAGTAGATGTTTGATTGGCAGAATATAATGAAACATTTCTATTAACTTTAACCTAAAAATTTGAACTAATTATTTCTAATATTTCACACAAAAATAACCTCAATAAGTAGAAATTTATAGTAAATGTATCTTTTATTTGGAGGTCAGTAGTGTTTCCGTTCACTAAATTAAATTTTATTTTATTATTTTTATACATCATGGCAGCTTCTTAAGTTGCACTCATAAATGACCAGAATTAGAGATAGAACTCTAAAAAACAGATTATATTTGCAAAAATGAACAAATATATGACAGTTAAAATTTTGATGCGTTTTATTTCTCTTAATTCTAATCCGTCTTCCTTGAAGTTCTCTGTTGTTTAATGCGTTTGGTTTTCTCCATCCTGTAGCTTCCTCCTCCATCAGATCAAATTCAGATGAAACCATGAAAAGTGTTTTACCGTCACATGTAAAAATAAAGGAAGGAGGTCAGAGAATAACACCTTGTTTTTTTTGTCCTGCAGTGTTCCCCGCGGTGCTAATGGCGGCGGCGCCATCCGATCTGGGATTTCAGTGAAAAATAACCCTCAACTCTACTGTAAGAATCAGGATAAGAACATTTAACTAGTTTGCCCTTTAATGGAGGGTCTCAGTAATTATCACAGTTGAATTTCCTCATATTATTTTCATTTAAAGCATGACATCGATGATGATGTTTGAATTTCTCTTACAGCCAAACCTGTGGAAGAGCCTCTCTATTTCCTACCTCCAGACTCGTACCCGTCCTCTAATCCTGGGTGAGGATTCATCTGCCTTTAAGCTCGATTAATCAAACATTCCAGCGGTCTGATTTTTTGTCTCCATCTTCTCTTTTAGGTATAGCTCGGATGTAAATACGGTGAGGTTTGTTAAAGGCCGCAGTTTGGGCCTAAGACTGGTGGGAGGCAATGATGTGGGGATCTTTGTAGGTGGAGTTCAGCCAAACAGCCCCGCATATGAGGAGGGGATGAAGGAGGGAGACCAGATCCTGAAGGTAACCTACTGGGTGGGGCACGTCTTATTATTGGGCTCTCTATAGAGTTTGGAGCCCGAATCAAGGTTTTGGTCCTTGTTTGTTTTAGGTAAATAACATCGATTTTGGCCATTTCACACGAGAAGAAGCTGCCAACTTCCTCCTGAATCTCCCAGCAGGAGAGCGGGTGGAAATATGCACTCAGAAGAAGATGGACAGTAAGTGTGGAGACAGGTGATCATGGCATGAGTTACTTTTAACCTGCATCAACCCTAACGTCCACCCGTCTTTAGTCTACAAGAAGATCATCAAGTCCAGCCTGGGGGACAACTTCTACATCCGTACCCACTTTGACTACGAAACGGAAGAGCCCCGGGGCCTAAACTTCACCAGGGGAGAAGTGTTCAGGGTCCTAGATACGATGTACAAGGGGAAGATAGGCAACTGGCTGGCTGTCCGCATGGGGAACGACCTGCATGAGATGGATAAAGGCATCATACCAAACCAGGAGAAGTAAGGAAGGAGGCCCTTCAGCAGTAATATTACCAACTTCACTGTATTATATTACAATTTTATTAACTACTATTGGATGACATGAACGATTATTTCAAAATGTTTGTGTCATATTCTTCCCACAAATTAGCGTTGGTCAATTGGTTAAAATACGTTTAGGTTTTAGGAGTTTACATTGTCAAACTGATTAACCGTCTCCTCCAACCATCGCCTCTCTCTGCAGGGCAGAGAAACTGGCCACCATCGAGCGCTCACAGCGCTCCACTGGAGAGAGGCAGGGTACCGGGCCCAGAGCGGAGTTCTGGAAACTGCGAGGGCTCCGAGGAAACAAGAAGAACGAGAAGAACAACAGACGAAGCCGGGAAGACCTGCTGCAGCTCACAATTCAGGGCAAATTTCCCGCCTACGAGAAGGTCCTCCTGAGGGAAGGTTAGCAGACGGGCTTTCTGGGCTCAGAAATCACATCCAGGTCAGTTTTTAAACACTGAATGATTTTTGTTGTTTTTTTCCAGCTAATTTCAAACGACCGATCGTTATCCTGGGACCTCTGAATGATATCGCCATGGAGAAGCTGGTCCATGAGATGCCTGATGAGTATGAGATAGCAGGTTAGTGTTCTGCTCCATCTTTGTTCTTTTCTAACCAGTTTCATATAAAGCGTTGCACGCCCTGGTGTTTGTTCCTGACTGCTTTGAGCTGCGTTCTCACAGAAATGGTTCCTCGCAGCGGAGGAGGAGACAGTAGCTCCACCGTTATTAAACTGGACACTGTAAGGAGAATAGCAGAGAAGGTGAGAAACGACCATCAACATTCAGCTTTAAATATTTTTCTGTCTTGTGTTTATCCTCTGAATGGTTATGGATTTGCTCCCTTTAGGACAAGCATCCCCTGCTGGACATCACTCCAACTGCAGTGGAGCGACTGAACTACATCCAGTACCACCCAATGGTGTTGTTCCTGGACCCCCATAGTCGCAAGGATGTCAAGACCATGAGGCAGAGGTACAACCCCGACTCCAACAAGAGCTCCAGGCGCCTTTACTCTCAGGCCGTCAAGATGAAGAAACATGCCAACCACCTGTTCTCAGGTATTTCTCACTGCAGTAAAACTTAAATGTTTCCAGTTTTCCTGTTGAATAAGGCAGTGTGACTCTGGAACGTTCTCCTGACTTTCCCTTTCAGCTTGTATAGAGCTGCAGCCCGGGACCCACAAATGGTACGACACCCTGAAGGACAGCATCCGGCACCAGCAGTCCAAGCCTGTCTGGGTGTCTGAGGTCACGGTATGTCCATTTTAGATTATGTTCAGGAAGTTTTTCAATCCAGGAATGAAACGGCTGCCAGTCTTGATTTAAACTGGAAAACACTGTTTTCAATTTTCATCACATTATTGCTGCAGTTTAACATCCTGTTAATGAGGTGCCTGATCAAAAAGGACAAGTACAGGTAATCCTGTACTGCAAAAACGATCTAGATATAAGTAAGAATATCTTAACTTAAGTGTATTTATCCTTATTTGAGCAGGTAAATAAGATTTTCAAATGGAATGAGTGTATTTACTCTTAAAATAAAATAATTAGGTAAAATGCACTTAAAATAAGACCATACAATTGTTTTTTTTTCTTATTTTAAATGTAAATTGTCTTGTTCCATTGGCAAAGTGTCTCACTTACCTCATTAATTCAAGGAGAAAATGCACTTATTTTAGGAAGAAAAAAGGACTTTAGATTTCAGTGTTTTGCAGTGTGTGGGACTGTAAAGAGTAAATCACACGGATTCCCCTCCTGAATCAAACATATCATGTTTGATTTAAACTAAAGCAGGAATGAAACAGAAAACACTTTGTAGTAAATAATCTAATCCCATCGGAGCATCGGTCAATCTTAAGAATTAAGAAGAGGAAAGAAATGGTTTTAAAGTGAAACTGTTGAGTAAAACATCCTCATAGCATTTCCACTTTGTAGACATGAATCTTTATGTTGCAGTTTGCAAACATGTATATGTGCTGATGTACTCGGACTGATTCAGATTATATTGACTACATTTTCTTAGTGGTGGTTAAAGTTTTTATAAGTCAGGTTGTTTTATAATCCAGCTTAATTTCTTTAAATCCTCTTCACTTTCCATTCTGTCCAGCTGGAGAGTGGAGGGGAACAGGACTTGGATGCTCTGGACCCGACCCAGATGGACTACCTGAGTGCCGCCAGTGACCTGGAGGACACAGACGGAGAGGCCATCACAGACGGAGAGGCCTACACTGACAATGAGGACCTGGAGGAGGCCTATCCTGGTCAGAATGTCGCCAGGTTCCCACAAAGCTCCAGAAATCAAGGAGCCGCTTTGGCCCGATCGTCCGAACCGGCCTTGGAGTACGAAACCCCGCCTGTTGAACGAGAGCCGAGTGACGACGGCTATTCGGACAGAGAAATCCCACCGTTGATGCATGTGCCAGAGCCCAGGTCGACCCAACAGCACGACTACAGCCCGCCCCGGAGTCCCGCTGCGGAGGAAGAGACGTCTCATCGCAGTTTCTCAGACTCTGACTTCGATGCTCTTGATGTCGACCAACCCTCAGATGGACCACCAGATTTTGTAGCCCCCGATCCTTTAAACCGACACTCCATAAACAGACCATCATATGAAGAGGAGGCGCCAGAGAGCCCGCAGCCCGCCCCGCTGTCAGCCATCGAGGAGCGATTAGAGCAGGTTTGTTCAAACAGAAGCTTCCTTTTTATGAATGAATTTATTCTAGATTGCAATTGTTCTTCTGATTTTAGGATTTTTTTCAACATTTTTAAAAACAATTCAGCCTCTAAGCTTTATGCAGCTTCTTATAGAAGAATAGAATAGATTCCTTATATTTAAAGACTTTAAACATTAGAAAACATTAGGATATGCATTTATCTGGCCTTATTATATTTTAGAAATCAATTTATGATGCTAGTAAGATTTTTTTTTTTACACAAAGAATGTCCTCTTCAGTTTGGGCCTTTAAGGATTTACCTGAACTGTTCTTTTTTACATGGTGGAACAATTGGATGAATTAAAATTTTATTCACAGAGGATCTACTTCACAGAGGATCAACTTCACAGAGGATCAAAGTTAATAATAATTCTTAAATATATGCATCCACCCCACACTACTAATGTTTGGATTAAACTTTGACTGCATGCTTTATGCAGCTGGATATTAAACAGTATTTTTATGCAACAGAAGGATATTTTGATTGATTAAGCAGTGGGACTTGATTAAGATTAATCGCAATAATTACAGGTTCTCTTATAAATTCATTTTTTAATCGCATTTGAATTGACAGCCATGTATCAACAGAATAAAAAAAAATTTCATTTTTTTTTCACAAACAATTTTAACAATTAATATACGAGCAGAGCAACACAGATATTGTTTTTTATCCATCACATTGGTTAAAAGTTATAATCATTCAGTTTTCTTTTAGAAACCTCTAATATTTTATTACTTCTATCGAAGTGTAAAAAGTACATGAACATTCATATAGCAAGGAGGAGTGCTGAGAAGGTTACAAGTACCCGGTCCTCATCTTCTTACAGTCAGCCTCAGTTATTAGGAAATTTCAGACATACATAAAAATACCAGCTTCCCTGCTGTGTCACACCATTTCCAGTGAGGATTCTTCTCAGCAGTGTGATGAACCTCAACGTCTGTTGTTGTTTCCTGCGTCTGTAAGCCCTGATTAGACGATCGTTTGTCGTATCCACTTCCCAAAAGCCGACTCTGTCAAGTAAATTCACCGAAGGCTGCCTTCTTCGCCTGACTCTCGGCAAACAAAGAAATATCACAATGATAACCAAACTTCCTGAATGTTACGCTACTTAATGCCACCTGAGTGACAAAATCCACCTGGGTGTTTAGTCTATAAATAACACCATGGGGACCCCCATCAGGCTCCTGGGAGCCTCTCACAGAGAAGTTCTGAGTGACTGGGAGTCAATCACAGAACCATGGTTACAGTTAACCCTTAAAACCCCAAAGAACCAACACTTTTATGCTGCTCGTGTTTAAATACAGAGGATTATGTAAAAAAATATGCAATTAATTGCCTCAATTTATCTAATGAGTTAAAATCTTAATAATTAGCCAAAATTAATGCTTTAACCCTTTATAGTGCACACATTTCAATTAGCTTTTTACCTTTTTCTTAACTTAACCTTTTTCAGCTTAGTTTACAGTAGGTAAAATATAATTCAAGGGCTCATCTAATAAGTGAAATAACAAAATTACATGTGCAGCCAGGTCTCAGTATATATGCTGAATGGCTGGATATAAATCTTATGCTTCTAGACCTCACTGAGGGACCGGGTGGGCTCCATTTTTAAGGGGTGATCTAAAAATGACTTGCCCGAGAATATTTTAAGGTCTTGGCTCTAGTTTCAAAACAGAAAATGTTTAGGTATGCTTTGTCTGGAACCTTTAAGAAATAAAACCCTTCAGTCCAAGGCTGATATTCCTGGACTAGAACCCCCCTGAGTTTACTGTATGGAAGGAAGATGCTTCTGAATCTACAGCAAAACAACACAAAGACAATTTCCCCTAACTCCCATAATGGTGCTTTCACACACCCCACGCGTTTGAGCAGCAGAAGCAGCCAGTTTACATGCAAAGTCTATGGTTGATGCATATCAAGGGGCATCAAAAGCTCCTGCAGCACATCTAGAGCAGCAGGAGCAGCGCCTCATGAGCTTCTGAGCAGCACAAGCTTTCGAGCCTCTAAGGCGCTTGACGTGCTTCACAAGCAGAAGATGCTAGAGTTGGAAAAACAGAATTTTTGCTGCTGGATGCGCCACATCAACCAATCAGAGAAGCTGATCTGGGAGCTGGCAGGGAGACAGACACAGCACTGCTGATGCAGTGATCACTGAAACAGTTTAACGCCTAAATTGACTAAAAATGTGGAAACCTGCCGGCAAAATATGTTCCTTTTTATTATCCTGCTGCGTGCAGTTTGGATTATGCACATGGAAAACGCCAACATCTACTTCCAGAATGCCACCAACAGTAGGGGAAATCCCCCAAGAGGCAACCAGGCCTGAGGCTGCGGCTGCTGGTGGGGATTCCCAGTAACAGCGCACCGCCAGTATGTGGGAGTCTGGGCGGCTCCAACGGCAAAATAATATTTTCTGGCAGGATCGTAATCTGGATGAGCGGACTGCACAGCTGATGTTTTTAGCTGGACTTTCTCGCATAAAAAACATTAAAAATACTTTTTACCTGCTGATCACAGCAAATACAGTAAAGCCACTCTCTGCCAATAAACACAGGAGCATCAGACGCGTCTCCAGGCACTTTTTTGCTTTTGAAATCGTGTGTGAATGTAGCATTAATGATAAAGCATCAATAAAAATGTACTTCAATATGTATAGTATTTGAATCTCTTGCTTTAAATTCACTCTTCGCTCTCTGTTTTAGACACGTATGGCAGAACCACAAGCCCAGGCTGAGGGGAAGAAAGGCCCGGCCTTCATTGTGTGAGTCTCCGCTTCCTCCTCATTGGACGGATTCAGTAAAAGTTGACTGGTTCTGGCTGCTGATTCTCTGCTCTGCACCTCCTCAGGTTGGCTCATCACCACCAAGCGGTCCAGTACAGACGGACGCAGATCCAAGGCAGCGACAGCTCCGACGATGACGAGTTTGACGACGATGACGTGGTGGACGACGTGGAATGGGGTCCCGCCACGGAGCTGTAGAGGACCAGGGGATTCAAGATGGCGCCAATAAATGTTTCACTCCTTTAACCCATTATTGATTGCTAGATTTTTTAAATGTGTCTAGAGAGGGCAATGTTGTCAAATGTTTGACAAAGCTTCAGAATTTCCCATCGCAAACATTTTGCCCCGCAAACATGAGATCAAAGTGCCTGTTTTTTTTTCAGTTTTATATTTATTATGCTTTAAAAATACTTTAAAAAATGTTTGTTATAACTGTTGTAAAATATTAATTCTAGTTATATTAGCAATGATGTCAAACACAGAAGACCACTCATGAAAACAGTTTTTAAAACTTTTCTACAATAAACCATTGTTTCTAATTCAGAATTGGTCTATGAAGTCATTAAACACCAAATGAAAACATTTTGAGGAATATGCAGAGTACATTTTCTGCTCCACATAAATGTCACAGAAAACTTTAAAATGCAGAGATCATCCTGCTGAAGCCATAAGCCTAATTTTAACAATGATATGAATGACGTTGGCTGCATTGACACTACACGCCTTAATGCTCAATTCTGATTTTTTTGTGAAATCCCATTTTTCTTTTTGCGTTGCTGTTCACATTTGCAGATATATATTAGTCTGCGATTTATGTGATCCCCTGTGTGAACTACATTCGTACAACCCAAGTGTCCCTCATGTGCAGTGGAGGATGTAATGATGTCACACGCTCTGTGTTTATGAAAGTAAACATTAATGGTAGTGCTGGAGCGCATCTAGCAATCTTTCCCAACCTTAAAAACTCAATCTTTTCAAGATGGTTTAAACAAAAAAGCCTGCTCTCTGCATTATTGTTCACCATGGTTGTTGTTTATCTTGCCACTTCTGCGTACTAAGACCCAGAATAGTCACCTTTGTCGGGTATTAATGGTATACAGGTCAGATGAATGCGACCTGGACGTTAAGACACAGGTCGCATTAGAAAAGTTCGGATTCGTATCGGATTCAGGACCACATAGACAAGCGGCCTGGGTCGCATCGGAAAAAATCGGATCTGTGTTGTTCAGACTGCCATGAAAAGATCAGATACAGGTGACATTTGGGCAAAAAATCGGATCAGACTGCAGTGTGAACGCAGCCTTTAATCCACTGAAGGAAGAAAAACCCTGAAATGATGTGAAAATCGTTTAAATATAACTGAATGTTTCGTACACGGGGAGCTTGTTCATAAAAGCTGAAGAGGATCAGATGGTTTAAGTTTCATCTTTTTTTCTGAAAAGGAATTATTTTACATTTTATTTGACACTGAAAAGAGATGAATAGCCTTTAAAAATGTAAAAAAATATGTATAATTTTTTTTCTAGATGGAATAATACCACATTAAACATCAAGAATGTTTTGTTGAACTTTTTCTAACAGAGATTTGGAATTAACTACACAGAGTAAAATGTATAAACACTCTCCCACTAACATCTGGATGAACTGACTTTAGACAGACGTCATGTCTGACTGAACTTGTTATCTGAAATGGCAGGATTTCTTGAAGTTGGTTGGTTTTAGAGCAACACCCAGATTTTTACAGTAGTTTACTGTTTTTGGAATCGATTATCATTCTGTTGTGTTACTTTTAAAGCCAGCTTAGATGTGTTTGGTTACACACACACATTTCCTGCCTCAACAATCAGCCCTGTCCAGTATGGAGGACCAACTCTGCCATATTTAAAAATAAATACAGAAATAAATAAATGCTCAATAAATAAGCATACAATGAATTGCCTCTCTCAAATAATTGACTCTCTAGTATAAATGTAAAAAGGGCAGGCAGAAATAAACATCAGCAAAGAAATAACCAGGATTAAAAAAATACAAAGGAAGAATAAAACAGACAAAAATATTATAACATGCACATAAATATATACTTAAAAATATAAGTAATTAAAAATAAAGAAGACTATAAAGTACAAAAAATAAATATTACAAAGGCAATTAAATAAAGAAGCTATTTAAAAGAGTTATATACATTTATGTATAATTTAATTTCTACATACATTTATTTCTTTATTGTATTTTTGGTGGCAATTAATTGTATGCTTATTTATTTATTGAGCATTTATTTATTTCTGTATTTATTTTTAAATATGGCAGAGTTGGTCCTCCATAGTCCAGACTCTATCTGAAATATAAATAAAGGAACTTTCCTTCCAAAGATCAGGAACCACCAAGTTCCCAAACTGAGAAATGAAGAAACACCAGCGTACCGGTAAAGACACGCTGTCTGCTACGAGAGTGAGAACCCAGCTGCTCTGATACTGAAATCTTTAAGCTTTACTCATATTTCTGGCTTTCCAAGTAGAAACCCCTAATATCTTTTGGAGAAAAATGTTACGGTTAAAAAAACTGGGCTGAAATGAAAAAAAAGAATCTTGATGGTTATAAGGTAGGGTTTCAAAAGGAATATGTTGGTGGAAGCTGCTGTCAATATGCTCCATCCAGAACTCCTCAGGTAGAAAAAGTTTAGTTTCCCCTGGTTTAATGTCATATAAACATAAATATCGGACAGATTCATTGATTTGCAAAATAACCTTTAGTTGCGGCCCTAAAGCTGTGATGTTTTTTGTTGCCTAAACGATTCAGTTTTTAAAGGGACTATTCGTAAAAGACAACATTTAATAGAATATTCATGTTGATGGTGAGAGGCTGTATATTTCTGACCATAACTATAGTTTAATTTGTTAATGTTTTACCCCCCTTGTTAATGTCAAACACAGCATTTTATTGAAAATATAAATCCTGTCTTAAATATATTTACCTTCTGAAAAAGCATAATTACAGAAAGGGAGTCTGTTAGAGCAGAAAAAGTGAATGTTTGATGCACGTTAAAGAAATAATTTAGTATTAGATTGCATAGAAAATGGTTTAACCTTTTTTGCCAACTAGTTTTTACATGGGAGGATCAGGGGTCAACAGGGGCCAGAGTCTCAGTAGAACTGGTTCTGGCCTCTATACTGAAAACATACACTACAAAAATTGGTATATAACTACGTTTTTTAAAGGTCAGGGTACTTTCCCTTGATTTGAGCAGGCAATTCAAACTGTTGCAAATAGAATAAGATGATTTATGTTTAAAATTAGAAAAAAAAAACTCCATTAGCTTAAATCAGGAGCATATATTTTTAAGCAAAACTCTTCATTCTCTTGGCAGATTGTCATAATTATCTGCTCAAATACAGACAAATACACTTATTTTAAGAAATGTTTTTATTTAGATTATTGTAATACTAAATCATTTTAATTCCAAAAAAAAAATAAAAAAAATAAAATAAAATCTAAAAATAAAATGCAAGCAATCCACTGGACACTTTGTCCAGTGAACTTTCTTTTTTTACGAATGACTATGACCTGGATGACTGAGAATCTTCACCAGTTTACTAAATAATTGTTATGATAATATATGCTGACAGCTGAGACAGTAACTGTTTCTTCCTTTGGACCAGTTTTAATATCCTGCCTTCACAATTTACTTTTTTCACGGCAGTAGTGACTCGTTTTTCTGACAGTAGGCTGACAGGAAAGGGGGAGAGACATGCTGCAAAGGACCACAGATCAGATTCAAACTAAGGCCTCCCTACATGGGTCGTGGACACTAACCACTGCACCACCTGCACGCCTAATTTTGAAATAACAGCTTTAAGCTTCAGTAATAGAATCACAGTTTTCATCTGCAAACTTGGCTTTGTGACTCACTTAATCTGCTAAATGATGAGCCCTAAATCTGTTTGTTTTTTTCTGTTTTTCTGTGTGTTTGGTATTTATTTTGTGATGTGCCCCCATGAAAATTAGCCCTGGCCCCCCTTTTGTGTAGAACCGCCACTGAGGCCAACACTTTAATGATAAGCAGATAAAAAAATTCATTTTTTAACAAAAGTCTTTTGTAATTGTTTAAACGGGAATTCAGTCACTGTTTTAATAATTATTTGAATATCGTTCCAGAATAAACATTTTGTGTTTTTATTTTGTTCCTGAATCCAAAACGTGAGAAATTTGTGACATTTCACACCATTCCGACCATTCATCATCCTCTGATAATTATGCATGAACAAATAATTTAGATGTCTTTATTCCAATCCCTTAGCAAAAAGTAGTTTATTCAAGTATACTAAAAGTGCACTAATTTCATACTTAAAATCAGGCAGTGCACTTAGAGTTGACTTATTCTAAACTATTTTTCATATACTTAACAATAGTATATACTATTGTTTACTTTATTATTTACTAAACTAAACTTTAAGTATACTTTAGTAAACTTAAAAATGTCCCAATTTAGTTCAAAAAAGTATTACTTTAGTAAACTTCAAGTGCACTAAAAATCTATATTGTTTGGTATACTTTCTAAACTTATACTTAAGTATTCTTAATAGAATTTACTTAAAGTATACTACTTTTTTCTAGGGGATAAGCCTATTTTGTTTCTAAAATACTAAAATAAATAGTAATAGAAGTTGAATTAAGTTGAATTGAAGTTTCAATTTTTGCAGTGCAGGACTATTTATATGGGCGATTTGATGATTGTTCAGAAATACATACACTAAATTCCTAAAAACATGGTTTACGCATGGAATAAATGAGATAAAGGAACAAATTTATCCAGTGGAGTAATACATTTAAAACTTTTATATACTAAGCTATTTATAAAGGTTATATTCAGAGTGAATCTTGCAGCTTCAAAACTTTCTTACTTTCTTTTTTTAGACAGATGTTGTGTTTTGTAACCAGACTCTGCAGGATCTTACAAGCTGCCAGGATTTTGCATATTTCACAAAAAGAAAAACGATCTTGTTTGCATTGATAAGTCGTTTTAACGTCTCCAGCTGGTGACGCGGCTCAGGTCACATGTTGGACACACACCTGCGCCAGGATGGACTGATTGGTGAGAGCGAGGAGACAACCTGCAGCTCCGCACTCAGCAGTCCTCCTCATCGGTTCACACTCATGAAACACTCGGAGTGACGTCCGTTGAAACTTTGTGGAGCAGGTGTGGTTCCCCACGGCGCCCCTCCACCCCCCACGCCAACGCGCGCGCACAGAGCGGATGCCCGGAGCGCACCGCGCGCAGCTTTTGCGGTGAGCAGAGAGTCGTGCGTCTCTGTGCGTCAGTGAGCCTGCGCGGCTCGATGAGCGACAGCAGGAGGAGGAAGACGCACAGACAGTTATCGTGGCTCCGGGTCGGCACGGATGGCACTGAGATCCCGCTGAGCGCCAGCGGCAGACGGAACAAGTGGCGAGCCGGGGGGTGGGTGGGGGGTCTGTGCGTCAAACTCAAAGAAGTCGGGATGGACGGGAAGGGAACGCTGAAGATGTTCAGGAAGAAACGGGAACTCATTAAG